TTTTATAAATTGAATTGCATTCTAAGTGCACCAGGCAAGCTTTCTATTTAAAGGAACCCTTTGATAGACCCTTTTGCAATGTGAAAAGTTAATTCCAAATGCATCTGTTTTTAAAGTTCCAGGCTCTGGCTCTCTGGTTTTCCTCTTCTGGACAGCTAACTAGGTTACAGTGTTCTATTCTCAGAGCCCAGCCCCACACAAACACTAATTGGTTTTCGCATCTGAAAGGTTGTGTATCACTTTGTCATTTCTAAATTTACATGATGTAATCCATGTGCAAGATGGGAAACTTCAGACCCTGTGGGAGGAGCAAGCGCCACATGCTTAGTTTTCCAAATATATCTAGAGACACGAGACAGTTTTCAAAAAAGCAGAGCTTCAAGGGTGCCTTCCTCGATCTCTATGCTTCACAGAGTTTCAGTTGGTGATTTCAATAAGAATCAGTAAATTCTAGAATACTGTCACACCTTGGAATTTATTTTCTGAAGAAAAATAATAACCCTTAGAGACAAATATACCAACAAACAAAAAACCTCAAAAGCTAAAAACATTAAATTGAACATTACAAAATTCCACTCTGTAAACTCTGTAACTGAAAACTAGCAATAAATGCACCATTTTCAAGTCATTGCTGAGGACTCCCTGGTCCAGAATTAGAAATATGCTTGACTGCTAACTAAAAGGTTGGCAGTTCAAACCCACCAGCCACTCCTCGGAAGGAAGATGGGACAATCTACTTCCGTAGTGATACTACCTCAGAAACCCAAGGAGGGGTCGCTATGAGTCGGGTCTGACTCGATGGCACATAACAATAACAACATATTTATGTACTGGTGGTGTAGTGCCTAAGGCATTTGCTAACCAGAAGGCTGGAGGTTCAAGTCCACCAGCCACTCCTTGAAGGAAGATTGGGCAATCTACTTCTGCAGTGATACTGCCTTGGAAACCCAAGGAAGGATCACTATGAGTTGGATCTGACTCAACAACAGTGAGTTTTTTTTTTTTTTTAGAGAATGCAGGCCAAACCATATATGCGTTTTTCAAAAGCACATGCCAGGCTAAGAAATCATACACTTTATCTGTAGAAGGTTAACAGGATGCCCTATAGATCATAGGTTACTAGCACATACGTTATGAGGACTTTTGGGAGAAACCAAACAGATCATCAGCCTTCAGATGTTCTTCTCCTGGGTCACAGCTACTGCTTCACCTCTACTTTGCTTTCCTCTTTTGTTTATCCCATCAGCTACACCACTTTCCCACAGAGTTTCTGGTAGGTTAGCATTTTAGCTTTGTTCCATATCTTTGAAGCCCGCTTCTCAAGCATGATGTATATTGAACCACCTGGAAAGCGTGAAAACACTACAATGACCAGGTCCAACCCTCATAGATTTTTATTTAATTGGTTCTGGGCATTGGGATTTGTAAAAGCTGCCCAGGTGATTCTAATGTGCATCCAAAGTTGAGAACTGTTGTCTTACAGGCTGTTAAACCCATGGCCCTGCTGGACTTCGTTCATCAGTTCCTGTATCCTTGGGTTCTTTGATTTTTAAATATCTATTGATCTCTTGTCTCACTTCCTCTGCCTTTCATATACTATAAGCTGAAAAAGCAGGCTTGGGAGGAGTAGCATAATTCTTTCTCTGACCAACTTCCAGAAGAAATTGAAAGAAGCCCAGCATACAGAAGTATTCCAAAACATATCTATCTTCTGTAAAGTGCAACCTCCTATGCCAGAGGAAGTCAGGAAGCACAGGAGAATTCTAGCTCCACTGACTGCTTGTTCTCAATAAACTTGGAATAGTTGCTTACCCTTTCTGAGTCTCAGTTTCCTCATCTATAACAACTAGAATACCTACTTACTAAGGCTGAATGAGGTCCTTAGGTTGCACAAAAAGTTTGCACTTGGATACCAACCAAAAGATTGGCAGTTCAAAGTCACCCAGGAATGCCATGAAAGAAAGGCCTGGCAATTTGCTTTTGTAAAGATTACAGCCAATAAAACTATATGGAGCTTGGTTCTATTCTGTGACACATGGGGTCGCCGTGAATTGGGGGCCAACTAGATGGTAACTAACAATAAAGCTTAATGATAGTCACTATACAGAGCAAATGGTTAATACAATCAGTTGCTAATAGAAAGATTGGAAGCCCACCCAGACGTTCTTTGGAGGAAAGTTCTGATGACCTACTTGTGAAAAATCAGCCACTGAAAACTTTATGGAGCACACTGTTACTCTGACATACATCAAGTCACTATAAATCAGAGGCAACTTGATGGTAGCTTTTTTTTTTCTAGGCTTAATGAGATGTCTAAAACAGTGCTCAGCATGTAGTAGGTGCTCAATAGTGATAGCTGTTAAAATGAATAGAAAAATAGGTAAAGCCTGTTCACTGATTATGCTCTAGATTATTAACTTGCCTTGCAGTGAGCTAATGTATCCAACTCTTTATTCTTTATATACTAAACAAATATTTTTGCATATTGATTTTATGTCAATCACACTACTAGGTACTAAGGATATAATAATGAATAAAGCAGACATCATTCCTGTTTTAATGCATCTTACAGCTTAGGTAAGTGCTTTACCTTTTCCTGGAGTTGATGTCAATCTGTCTAAAAACTCAGCTTGCTAGAGGGATGGTACTATGAACAAACTGCCCTTCAGCTCATCCTTGAAGCAAATACTCAGTGATATGTTGGCAACTTTCACATGGTAGACAGACAGACATTTATCAGAATCTCTATAATAGTTAGGAATGGCCAGAATGATTCATTAATATCAGTATGATTAGTTAATATCAAAGGGAGCATCTCAAAAGACTTGATGTTTTTTACTCACCTACTTTGAGAAGTTTTATTAGCAATGGTGTACCTCTCTGGATTCTTGAAAGCCAGAGACAGTATATCCTTCCCCCACCCAAACTGCCCAACTGAGAGTGCTGCAATGCCTCTCATTTTGTATACTTAGCTATGTGTTATAAGTTTGTGGCATACCTACATTAGAGGAACTTGTATCCTTTGTTCAGGTCTGCTGGCAACTTTCAATCAATCACTGTCACTCCTATGACAGTAGCACCTCTTTTTATAAAAATCATAAGAGCTGGCATAGTTATCTATACTTTACATAAGAGGCATAAATAACTTGATGAAGGACATTGAGTTGGTAAATGTCAAAGCTGAAATTCACCTTCAGATCTGCCAAACTTCCAGCTCAAGTGGATAAACTTTAGTTGACTGTGTATGTTGGAATATGAGAATCTGATCCTTTGGAGGATTAATTAAAAAACAAAACAAACAAACAAACAAAAACTACAAGAAAAAGAATAGATGGAACTAGAAGACCATGGTGCAACTAAATCTAATCTAATCTTGGCCTATGGGCTTCTAATGGAATTAAGTGAGGACCTGGAATTCAATAAAGAATTGTTTCCAGTTTACCTGGTTATCAATCAAATTCAATGATACTTAATTTCACAGTGTTCCATAGATTAAAGGTTCATGCTTCAGACTCCTATTTCTTCATAGCTGCAGCTGAACTCTTTTTTTTTTTAATCATATCAGGAATATAGTAACTATAGCTAAAAAAGCAGTAGTAGCATTTTCTAGATGGTATAAGGTCACTACGAGTCTGAATCATCTCCATGGTAGTTTTTTTTTTTTTTTTTTGGTTATAAAATCCTTGCTAATCCAGATAATCTTTACTGCACCTTAAAGATATTAAGTATTTTTACTTGAATGGTAGAGTATGTGAATGAGTGTGTATGTGTAGGTATGTATGTGTATAAGTGCACGTGTATAACTGGATTTGTGTGCAAATGCTCTGGAGTTCATGTGGAAGGGAAGATCATTTAAGCCAGTATTTCCTGTTTTTTTGTGGGTTGCAATGTGAATTTTCTAGGGTATTCATCAAGCTCACAGTCACTGCCTTTTCTGCTCTCCACCCAAAACAAGAGCTGCAGGCAGCCGTATTTTTATTAATTAATGAAATGTAACCCTTACCTCCCCCTTCAACCACATATTCTTGGACTAGAGATGGTTATTTGATCCAGAAAGGGGCACTCATATTCTTTCTTATGTAGACTGTATTTTTATTCCTAATTCCTTACCTTCTTTTATCTTTACCCTTTGTCATGTGACTTTGAAATTCTCACCAGAAGAGACAGTATATTTCCTCTCCTTATGGAGATTGAACTCAGCTATGCGACTTGTCACTGGAACGTCAGAAGGGGAAATTTGGCCAAAAAGGTTTTAAATGTTCATGTGAAATTGGGCTTGTCCTCTTGTGCCCCTAGCTTTTGTCCATTAGAAGAATGTTTGTCAGGTGTCTGCTGATCCAACAAGGATGAGTGGACCTGGACACATCCTGAAACTCAAAATCAGGCCCTCCCAATACTGCATGCATCAAAATCCTGACTGACCTACACATATATGAAAAAGAAATAAAAGCCTTTGGTTATATATCACTGAGGCTTGGGATGCCTTGTATAGAATTATTGTGGCGACAGATGACTGATATATTTCTCCTTGAGACTATACAATTAATTGAGAGACAAAGAGACTATCTATCAGGAGCTGAGACATGTAGATGTCAGAGCTTGCCATAGGCCATAGAGAACCCTGAACCCCTGATGCTTTAGGTCATCAAAACTGTTTCCTGGTTCCTACAAAAGAGATTCTTCCTTGGATTCTGTAAGATAACACCAGAATCTTTCAATAATTTTTCTCTTTTTTTTTTTTTGTCTCTCTTAAGCTGAAGGGTCTTGCTTATGCCACAGTTAATGGCTGTGTTCTTATAATTAAAAGTACCAAAATGAACAGAGAGTAAAATGTGTAATTTTTGGTCATGATAAAACAAAAATGGACTCAAAACTCCTCTTTCAAAGTTTGCTGAGGGGGTAATCAATCCCCTATTGATAGTAATCAAATTTAGTGATTATCATGATCAGGTTTTGGAATCTGGCTTTACTGTGCAACTGTTACTTAAATTACCACTTACCTTTGGGAACAGGCAGCATAGGACCTTGCATTGAGAGCATATTCCAATTCAAAACGACTCCTTAGAGCGGCTACATGGCTCCTGCCAGGACCTCCCCGGCTCACCAGACAGTCAGAGGAAGAGGAAGGTGAGAGAGAACCACTGCTGTTACTGGATGCAGGGGACATTAGCTGAGTGAAGGAGACACAGCTTCAATCTTTTAATAAATCCAACAGGCTTACAGGCATAAAATAGAATATGGATTTATTTTAATTTTCTATTCTAGGATGTTTCATATTTTAATTTCTATTCATCTTGGTTTGCTTCTGGCTTTTCCTTTCAGCCTCAGATAGCAACATCTGGCTAGCTTAATTTACTTTTTGACCCAGTTCTATACTGAGAGCTGGCCCATTAAACCTGTGGGTATTTTTTTTTTTTTTTTTTTTTAGAAAATACCAGAGGCCCAAATAAAATTCTTAAAATAGATATTTCGTGGGTTACTATTCCATGACCAAAATATTCTCTACATTCTTCACTATGGCAATAAGATTCAGGGCAGAGGTCCTTAAAACTGTAGTATAATTATTCCCTTTACATAAAATGGATTTACACGCTTTCTCTAGAATGTATTTGTTTTGATTGGGCAATCTACCTCTGTAGTGATACTGCCTCAGACCCATGGAGGGGTCACGATGAGTCGGATCCGACTCAACAGCATTGAGTAAAATAAAGGATGCCTTCATATCTAGCAAGTGTGGGGAAATATTTAGTGATGTGAGAATTTTCTTAGTTTAAAAATCATTAGAAAATAAAAGACCACGAATGAAGAAAATGGGAGAGAAAAAAAAATAGGAGAATAGCTTTTGTTGTAGGTTTTGACCACTTTACTACTTGCATATTCACCTATCCGACCAAGAATATTAATGATGAAATTTCTTAAGATATGGAGATC